CGATCTCGCGAATATCGCGATTTACTACGATATTTCCCACTTTTATCTACTGAACTGGCTTTACGATTACGAATAGGTGTTCGTGATCTCGAACGCGATGGCGATGGGCTACTTGATATGCTCGAAAGCGACGAGAGAGATTTCGTCTCGTCGGAGGGACGTTTGGGGGACTTTTTCACGTTCTCTTCGTCTTTATCTAGGGGTTTACGAATACTTAATTTATCCCTTGTGAGAATACGGATCTTGAAACCCCTAAAAAAAGACAAAACATTAATTCAACACTTGATTTTGAGTGGCTTTATTAACGAAGGAAGGCATATGATCATATTCCATATATTTATATTGTTTCTGGATTATCATATTACTCGTCAAATTTATTTAAACGAAGAAAATGTCAAAAATTAAATATTGACAAAAACATTAAACGAATCCTGTTAAATCAAAATATTATATACACAATTCGTAATCAAAGGTAAGCATTAACTTACGATTTAGTAGTATCTGACTTCGAGTCTGTTTTCTTCGGCGATGATTTTTCATTTTTCTTATCTTCACTTTTATGTTTATTGTCTTGCTTCTCATTGGCAGGTTGAGAATCTTAATACAAGATTATTGAACGATTCAATACTTGTAAATACACAAACGATGTACATTGAAGATATAGATTGTCATATACTCACCTTTCTTTGAACTACTATTACCAGTCATTTCTGCCATCTTCTCTTCAAAGTTTGTTACCCATCGCACATCGTAAACATCCATAAATGTTAATTCTGGCGTTTCCCTGCACGTAGGAAACAGCCATTGATTTAAAGGAAAAGTAAATTAAATTACGAAGATCATTAACGCGCACCTTGTTGAATCACGTTCATAAACATTCGTAAAATCACGCGAACCGATGTTCGTATAATGTTCGACCGTATAGAAAGCCGAAAATGTGGAAAGGTAAATATCATGACTTACCTAAAATGATAGTCCTGGTAGACCCTCTTGATGTATTGCATTTTACTCTTTTCGAATTGATTCTTGTCGACCAACTGCGGTTGTAATCTTCCAAATCGTTCTTCGATCTTCTTTGCCACTAACACAGATATTTCATTAGCTCCACGCTTATAATTAGGAGTACGCGGTAATTCCGTAATTGCTCGCGATATTGTTGGGAAATGTCTATTTAGATAAGTTATTCTGTGATTATAGCTGGTAATGTGAGCCATAACAGTGCGAGGATCACCTCGTTTATCACACAAAACACATGTATAACTGGGTTCACAAGAGTCATTGTCAACCAGTTCAAGCAGATATTCAAGACCAACAAGCGGTGAACTTCTATGTCGATCCAGACTCATCTGAATCGTAGTTGTTCTAGTTATTTGATCTTCCATGCCAGGCGGTATTGGTTCACCAGGTGCCAAGCCATCACCAATAGCCGTCGATTGAACAGGTGGGGCTGTTTTCACAATATCTGACCGTTTGGACCATAACAATACTGGGTATGGCCATTCGTTTAATTTCATTTTGTGACGACTACACATATTATGATTTAGTAATTTATGAGCTCCAAATAGAGCAATATTACAGATATGACACCATATATCACCATCTTCTGTCTCAGAATATACAGGTCTGAGAGTGCCATCTTCGGCAGTGACACTGCTCCTCATTAAACGTTTTCGATCATATTCTTCCTGTGAAATATAAACACTTTATAGAATGGGCAAATAACATATCACAGAATATAAATATATAACATTAATTTGGACATGAAAGTAGTAGAAGATTTTTTATTATAGAAACACAGATTTCCTTTGCGAATTCTGCTTTGGATTAGATATGTTGTATGTATCTAAGGTTCTAATAAATAACAATATCTTTTACAAACAATTCCTATTACGCATTACCTTTTCTTTATCTGCTTCGGATAAATGAGAGGGATTGCGTCCCTCTATATCAAGATCATCAAAGTTTTGCATGGTTAACCACGTCTATGAAAAATTGTTGCTGAGTTTTCTGAAAATATAAAAGTGCTATCATGTTTGAGAATGATAACAATGCAGCATTAGGGCTGGCATAAAAGTATAAGAATTAGTTAATTGCACTACGATTACTATAAAGTACATAAAGTTAATGGTATAGAAAAATACATTCTTGATTAATTATAAATAATAAATTGGAAACAAATATATAGTTACTCTAAAGAAAACTTGAAATTATAAAAGTAATATACATATAGTCAATGCTCGCTAATATCTGTAGAAACGATATATTCACAGAATAATAATGTTATTTTATAAGCCAACCCTGCAGCAGCAATTTCATTTAATCATTTGTGATTTATTTTTTTCAAAGTTTTTTATAATAAAGCTACAGATGTAAAAAAACTATACTTACCCATTTAATGTTGTATATACTATAATACTTAAACAATTTATATACACATATATTATTTAAATGTGAAGTTTCCATCGAGTAAATTTTATGTTAAATAGGTTTATTATAACTTTATATTTGAAAGCAAATAGCTTAATGCTAACTGCTTATAAGTGCTGTAAAATATTGCTGAATAGATAATTTCAGCAACGGAAAATACAACACAAATACTTAAATACATTTTAAACAAGTTCTTATAACACACTTCATAATATAAATCAATTTTTATATATGTACTTACATATTTAGGCTAACAACTCTAAAAAGTAATTGGGCTCCTAAAGGAATTCATATTAAAAGAGATTTGTTTTTTTTAAATAAGAAGTAATTTATGTTATTATTATTACTATTACTACTACTTATAATTTTTTTGGAATATAGGAATCAATCCCTAGCTACTTACCGATACAAAGGAAACCTCATATTTCCAATAATGTTTCCAGGATACACAAGTACCACAAAACATTAAACAAAGTGCACCATGTAAAGACACTAACATCACACAAAGTTAATATTTAAAATTACTTTGCGACTGATAATAAAAAGAGAAAAACATAGCCATTCAGGTTGAAATAAAATCATGTTATATATAGAATGAACACAGCTAATACGAATAAAGCTGTGAGTTTTGTTGTTAATAGGAGAATAAACGAGACTTATATAAACAATGTGTGTCTTTTTATTAAGCGGTGCTTGCTTAAACAAATTATGCTGCTAATAACATAATAGGAATAACAAAATCATGATGAAAATTTCGGAACAACCTGTAATACAGGTAACCAAAAGGCTGTTCGATCGATTTAATCCATAAAAATATAATACAGTGGTATTTTCACTCGCGTCGTTAATTTTTGGCAATCAAGCGATCATAGCCAAATGGCGAACCCTTGATTTTTAATTAATTCTCCCTTTTACACTGCTATTTTTTTTTTTCATTTCTTTCGACGACTTTACCCTTAAATTATAACCTCCCATAACATCGAAATAAAAAGAATAAGCTTGACTTACCGAATTACCAATGCACGATGATCATATTCAGTAATTCTGTCCGTGTAGATTTTTGCTTCTTTAATTTTGTTTTCGACAAAACCTTTCGGTAGCCATATCGAAAAAGAAATATTCAACGAGCAAAGATCTGCGCATGACTGGCCCGCATATAGAGGTCGTGTTCGGTAATTAATTGCTGGTAGAAAACTTTATTACCAACGTGAATTTTTTTCCTGTTTTTACAACACCCGATAAATATATACATTTATGCGTATGTATACCGACAAAGTCAATGATGTGTGCTTCCATTTTTAAATCAATTTGAATGAAAACCGCTGTTGAATCATGCTACAAAGTACTGTTAAATATGTATATATTTAAATAAATTATGCATCTGAAACGAAAATAAAATAAATAATAAATTCTATTTCTAGATGTTAATACATATAGAAAAAAGTAACATCAAAGAGGTTTCTTCTGTTCCCTTTCATTTCTTCCTTACATTTGTTTTCAATTTGAATTTCTTATCGATAGAAGCGATGTAAATTTTTATAATGCTGTTAAAATATTGTATTTCGTAGCATCGATTACGTCGTAGCAACAAATTTGTATATACGTTCATTAGACAGATATAAATATGAATGTATGATAGTATAATACATTCGTTATTCAATTTTTCATAAAATTCTAGAAAAGATGCGAAAAATCGTATTCGAAAGCTCTACATTATTTACCGAGCTACTATGCTCGCGACAAAGTTTTCCAATATTTTAGTTGAGATATATCGGTAGATCAAAAATATCGAAAAGCTATTTGGTATGTTTGCCTTTGTAAACGGGTACTGAGAAACTATGTCACAACTTTGTGAAATTTGAATCTTTTATACTCTTTCAGTTTTCAATTTCAAAGTTGGAATTGTTTTTAATCCGAAACACGTTCGAATACTCTTTGTAACCTTTTTCCGTCGTGTTAAGGGTGTCAATAAATAAATCTCTGCACGATATTTATCGATACAGAATTATTAGAATTTATTTGCCATTAAATACGATATTTCGATTTGCGCGCATTAAAAGGATTTTCCAAGCATCGAAACCTAGTTTCTCCAACAAAATCCGAAGGAGATTGAAAAACTTTGAAGAAACATCCTAATTAGGATACCTTAGTTAATGGTGGGAATTAAAAATAAATTGAAAGGAAATGGTAAAACAAATTGGAAGAATATCTAGTTTCTGGAAAGACGTTAGTAATAAGTTTTATGATTTACCGGGCCGGCTGGAGAGTATCTTTCCTGATTAAAATTAGAAAAGTTTGGAAAAATGGCGCTTCGTTATTTGCTTTGCAAGTTGGAATTAATTAAAAAAATCCCGATTAAATTCATACTAAGTATGATAGAAAAATAGATTAAGTTAATATCAGGCTGATATTATATTCGAAGGTAGGTGAGTAATTACATCGATCTAATCGAGTTAAATCGATGAGATCTGGCGTGTTGTAGAGGATGTTCGCGATCAAAGGGATCGGTAGCGGTAAACGCGGCTATAGTAACCGTAGCAGAAGGGGTCCAACACGTGTTGCCGTACCTGAGTAGCTTGTTATAAGGCCAGTCAGTCGGTCATCGTCTTCCGCTGATGTACTTTTGAAGGTATCCTTGTTGCGAGGCGCGCGAATGCGCGCTCCCGATGTCCAACATGATCCTCAGATGCTTCGCGATCTATTCTCTTCGACTGATTTTACTCGCAAACGTTGCGTTCGCGTCGCAACCACAGTGGAGTGTTTTGTCGTGGTTGTCATCCAGTGTTTACACTCTGATCGTTTTTCCATCGAACACGCAACAATGGTCGTTGCTCGGCTTGAATCTCTGGCCGGGCCAAACCATCGAGAAACCTTCCGATGGATTCGATTTGAGCGAAAACCCAATCTCCAGGGGTAAGTTCTCGGAGTGCCGTTTCGTGTTTCTTTTGCGTCCGCTAAGACGTTCTTGGACCAACGCTGCATCCCGTGTCTGCACCGGAATTTGTGTTTCCTCCAATCCTACGCCGCCTACGGAGCTGGTTTTTTTTTTTTCTTTTTTTTTTTGGGAAGAGATGGCATTCTATCGTGGTGCACGGTGACGGTGCATAGTTTTCTCAAAATCACGAATAAAACGAATGAACCGGTTAACGATCGCGTCACTCGAATTTCCCTCTTTCTCTCTTTTTCTCTTTCTTTCTTTATGGATTCTCTATATTATCTTCGATATAATCCCTTATTCGTCACATTTAAATTACAATAATAGCATTAAAAATTTGATTATCGAGATAGATGTAGCTTTTATTCTACTTTCTATTTATAGAGATTAAATATGTATTGGCTGGTCGCTCGAAAATTAATCCAACGACAATTAAAATACATACATACAGCGTATAATATTATCATTAAAATCAGCTTTGATATTTATAAGTAAATTAGTTATCACTTGCTCTGTAACGATTATAATCATAGCTAAAATATTCAGGGTTATTAAACGGGAAGAGAACAAATAAACGTGAAATACAAGGTGTAAATTTAATATTTGAATTGAAATATTATCTCGATGGCCACACTAGTTAAATATTCACAGGGATCTTTAATCTTTAATACACGGAATATTTAGCAGAATTAAATTTCTTAACGAACAAATCAATTCGACGATACTAGCCATTACCGATTATCCCGTACATTTCGTCAAATTCTAGTTGGCAAATCCCACTACTTATGCAAATTCCTATGAGTGTAGCCCGCAAAGCGTTAATTGGCAATCAGTAACGATAAGTAAGAGTAACTCGATAGTCCTTCCACCGCGGAGAAACCAAAGACCGACGAATTAATTACTGCGGTAATTGCGTGTTCATCATCGTGTGTTGATTGCTCTGACTCGGAACAAAATGCGTCTCTACTCGAATGTCGAGTCACACAATCCACGCGTAGGTGTGATACCTGTATAACGTTAATTACAATATTCATGAATTACAAATGTACCGCGGAGGAAACGTTTCTTGTTCGCGTTAAATCACCACTGTTCGTGATGAAATACTTAACGTAATACTCGAACGCTGGTCCGAAGGGGTTGTTCAAACTCTTAGTGCGCGAGAAAACGGAAAAAGATATCGAAGGAAAATTTTTGGAATTGCGTTGCATCGCTTAAAATTTCAGGAAATAAAAGTAACTTTGGTCGCATTCTACGTATAAACTTCGTACAGACGTATCGTGCGACTGCTTTTCCACAGAGACAGCTGTAGCGAATGAGTTAAAAAAGCAGATCTTTCTTTCCAGCGTTCTATTTTCTTCTTCTTTCCATTCTTTCCCTATCATCGCTATACTTTCTTCAGATTGCAAGGACGAAAGAAACACGTTTCAACACTGGCGAACCAGTTTCTTTTGTACGTACCGTAAACTGGGGTAGCATTGGTAGATCTTCGTAACGTTTTTCCACGAGTAATCATCACTACGAAGATTTAACCAATCGCATACTAAAGATCCTGATGATGGAGCGGGAGGCACGGTGGAATAACTTAATCTCTTCGTATTTTACAGCTCTTCCATATTACCAAATTAACTATACAATTTCGACAAGTAACAGATTTTCCAGACCAAAAATCGATCACACTTTACTCACTAGATAACAAACCGATATCCATTTAGCCTAGATAGAACCGGCATTAAAGGATATGTCTTTCGTATAGTCGAAATAAGGAACTTGACCAAATTCTTAAATACAACTAACCTAATGTCAAAAATAATGTTAAATAGTATAGTCGTAACAAAAAATAAAAAAAAAGAAAAGAGAAAAAGATAGCTGCATGATTGTACATGCACAGCCATACCGCCGAAAGGACTAATCGTATGTTCGTAATTACTTCGTTCACTAGCATTCATTTTTCTTCTACCCTCTTGTCAAAAATACGAAAATCTCGCTGAAGGTCTGGTAGCTGACCGTGTTATTATCCCGTTATCGACAGTGTTGCTCCAGTTTGCGGTTTGCTATCTCGGTTTCGTTATCTTGCTCGACTTTTCGTTTGTAACCTCCTTGTAGTTCTGAACTTCTTTCCCACCCCGGTGCAAGAGGAGTGCCTATCGCAGGACAAACGACGACGGGGCATATGCATGAACACGTATGAGTGTCGCATTCAAGGAGGAAAGTCGAATGGACGATGCGCGCTCGGTTTCGGCGTATGCTGCATATGTAAGTACCTCCAAGCTATAACCTGTTATTCCCGGTTCACCCAGTGTGCGAACGTTTCATAAATTCAGCGTGGTGGAAGTTTTATTGCCGGGAAATACAGGATCGGTGCGTGAACGCGTTTAAATTTCCGGGGATTTGCGCCCGTTCCCCGTGACTGCTAATTTGTTGATACGATCGTTGCTCCCCCGTGCAATTAATTTCTTTTTCTCTTCATCCCCCACGATTCGTTGCTTTTTTGTATATTATCTTCTTCTTTCTTTTTTATACACGACGTCATTTTTCAGCGCACCGTTGATACGCGCCCAGGGTACATCGTTAAATTTTAAAGTGGAGATATTTGTACGTGTCTTTCTTTTTAAGAGTTTCAAAGAACGAAAGGCCCGTCCCGTTCGTGAGAATATACGAAGTTGGGTATTCGGACGAGAGTAATTAAATCTGCGTTCAATGAAAAAATTCTCTAGGCTAAGATTTTCTAAGATTTTTCTCTAACGTTTTCTACGGACAATGTTCATCGCGACAGGTCTTAGATTCTTACGTTAATCCGATAAAAAAATGTTAATAACGGCGCCGTATCGTGGATTTACTAGAAAAGCGACACCATTGAAACAAGCTTTTTCTCTAAACGTATCTAGTTCGATATCGCTTTGGTACATTTGCCATGTGTAAACCGTGGCGACTGAATTTTAATCTTGGCTACGTTTTAACATTCATAAGTCCCGTTACACGCGCGACTGAGCAACACGCGACGTAATTCTCGGTACAGATTTCGCAATACGGTTACGTGGACTTGACTCTGTACAAAAATGATATATATCCGATTTACGCCGTCTGTTTCCATCCACGTCGTGTTCTGTCAATCGTAAATTGCTCAGTCTTCGGTATGAAAGCACTTACGCGTTCCGCATACTCGTTTCGCATGAACATTTCACGGATATCGTGCACGAAACTTTACCACGCGATGCGCTCTTCTATTAACATTGATAGACCGAACTTGCTCAAAAGATTTTAACCACTTTCAGGTTTGAAACTTTCCTCGTGATATATAAACACGAAATGTAGCGTAATTTGCGATAAAAAAGGACAGGGAAGATGGTTTCCTCGAGGGGAACGAAATTGATAAACGCGACGCGATGTTTTCGCACGTCGTTTGACGAGATATATGATTTTAATCCTATTATTTAATACCGCTGTTGATAAAAAGGATCTGATAATTTTCACTAAATCGTTTGAATGATCGTTGTTTCACGTCAAGCGTTAAAAAAACTGGAGCGGAAAAATTGTGTTGCCGATTTGGAAGAAATTCGTTCGTTTTCTGCATAAATAACTCTACGACCTTCGAACGCGTTCAATTCAAGTTTCGCATAGACAGCGACATTCTTAAACAACATCGCAGAAATGATACCGATCGTCTAGGTACTTGTAAGTCGCGTGTTAAAACGAAAGGTTAAATATTCCTATCTATCACTCGGTATAATGCGAGCCATGTAACTAAAGCGACATCCAATTAATTACATCGACGTCAACGGATTACTCGCTGTTTATCTCTAGATTCCCTCAACAAGTACCTCTGTAAAGGTCCTATTCCTCGGATTAATCGGGTTGCTCTCGGGTTTCCAAGGTCGTCGTCGACGATTCGGTTAGATCGTGCTGCGGTTTTAACTAACGGTATCACGGAGACAGCGTGCACGTCCGAAGGAATGATCTCGAGGAACGTGCGCCTCCGTTTCCGAGCGTGCAGAGGAAAGAAACAGGTGAAAGAGTACGCGAGAGAAACCGGAGGAACGAGAGGAACACTTGCTACGAGTTCGCGTGCCAAGGAAGAACGTACGGCACAAGTTATACAGTTATTTAATTGGTTGCCATCTCGGTCGCGCGTCCCAGATAACAAGTCGCGTTTCGTCCGATCTTTCCGCCAATTTCTTTTTCGACGATGGCCTTCGAAGGCGTCGGGCGATTACCCGTTAAGATCCTGTTGCGAGAAGGAAACTCGCGTTCTTCTCTCTTTCCCTCTCTCTCTCGTCTTTTTCTCGTACTTTCATAGAGATTACCAGAGCTACAAACAAGTAGTTCTCGCTCGAGCTGTTCGCTCGGAACCTTGCGAGTTTTATCCCGGCGAGGAATCGGATTTTAAATTGAACCACGACGGTACCTGAATTAATCAAGACAGACACGATCGGTAAGACGAGGGAATTCTCGAATAACGCAATAATCGTTGTACAGTGAGATTTCGTGTTTGCAATTACTATAAACGTGCAGGCGTGTCTTCGTATTTACGCTATACATATATCGCATATATTATTCGGTATCATTTTGATAGAATTCAGATCGATTGTTCGGCGACTCGCGTATCAAATGTGTATAGCGTTTTATGGAAGAGCGGCTGCTCGTTTAGAGGAGAACGTGATACGTGAGCAAACTCGTGAAACAAACGCCGGTACTTCTTTTATTGTGTGCACGTGCTTACTTTCAGGATAACTTGATAACTGCATAGACTCTTCTTGTTGCGTACATGATGTGTTTCGTTGACGATATTGTGTTGGATACGGAAGGAAAACCTTTTGGATACCTCGCGCCGCATCCTATGCAAACTTCGTTACACGCTCGTGATTCGGGTTAGGTTGGGGTTAGGTCGAAACACTTTGAAAATTTTTTTTTTTTTTCGTTCGATCATGCGACTCGATCACTCGATTTCGAAAAGAAAATTATCTTTTTTTCTACGATACCGTGATAAATTATTAGATCGTTCTTTTATTAAGAATCGTTCTTGTTTTTATATCGATATAACCGACGTCTTCGAAGCGCATTAAATGCTCGCGAGTGGTAGTTCATATCGTCTTGTAGACCGTGATATATTGATTTTAAATCGAGCTCGACGAGGAAACTTCGGTGACCTGAAAATTTGAATGTTTTCGAAGATCGCTGTATTGTGATATCGAATAATATGGCTCGGACATTCGATAATGTAAGTCCGTTCGTGGTTTATTTTCAGTTTTAAATAGCGGAATGGTACGTTGAAGGGTATAATTATTTTCCACGGTTTCGATATTACGAAACTATATATAAATATTTTCACGATATTACAATATTTAACGATATATCCATCTAATATGATACGATCGTTGCAAAAAACAGAAATTTTGAGAAAAACAGAATATTATAGAAATACTGTAGTCGAGTCAGGAAGGCTGTCGCCCAAATGACACGCCGACCCCGAATTTCTCAAGCTTGTATAAATATTCATAAGATTCCAGCGCATTCCAAATCCTCCGTGCTCGGTCTATGAAATTTATTTTCGGTCATCGAATATATTAACGTACTTACATCAATTTCGGTCCATGAAATTCTCTCGCAATTTGAATATTTCTCTGCTGTATTACATATGGTATTTATATTTATCGAAAGTACGTTCAGATTGATCGCGTAAAGATAAAATTGCAGTCAACAGTAAAGTAAATATTTCAAAAACTTTCCTTATCATCTTATAACGATCAAGGTACAACGAAACAGCCTGAATATTTTGAAACACTTTGGAAATCCTGTAGCTCCGACGCTATGCCGTTCATTAACGATTCTACGTAAGAAACATAGCGCGACGATACGATCTTTCCATTAGATCTCGATGTTCTTCGATTTTATGTTTTTGTAAATCGACCCAACGCGAGAAAGAAATTATCCTACCGGTCGGAGAACAGTTCGTTCGGGAATCGTTGCTTTTCAACCAGTTCGGTCACTAACATCCTGACCATCGGAGTAACTGTTTTACATCGAGCGATGCATATGGAATATATTGCTCAGGAACGAGTACGTACCCTCGATCAGTTTCCGAATGCCGTGGCCTTGATTACCAGATAGGCCGTTCTTGATCTGATGTGTTTCAGAACGTATCCGCTAGAAGCGGTTTTAGATTAGAATATCATAAATTGAAAATAAAAGACTGTCGCTGCGTTATTTTAATATAACGTCTTGTTTTAGAAAATCGAACGCTTCGAAGAAACTTTGCTGTGCGTTGCAACGAAATAAACTTCGTAGTTATATAGTTTATGGTATATGAATTTTTAATCTAATTACTGACTTTCAACGAGAATTAGTACCGTTATAATTGCGAGAAATCTCTACATCCAAGCTCTCCTTTCATCCCAACAAAGTATTTCTTACAAACGTCTCTGTACAATTCAATTACGCTCTTAACTTTATCACCTTTCTTACAAGTTCCACCGATTCCACTTCTTAATTTTATCGTTAGTAATAATTCCATTGTTCTCTTATATACATAACGTATATATAAAATATATAAGAATAGAACGACCAAAGAAGAAGCAAAAAATAAGGCAACTAATGAAATGAAAGAATACAAATAATAAAACAGGTTCAGGTTCTTAAGAGTTTAACGAGACATCGTTCGGCCACAGAGACACCGCTCCGTAAATTTTTCAAGATCGTCCACTGGTTGTTTTCCAAGAGAGAAGAAGGGCGAGAAACGTCTACGTGAAACTGGTAACCATTTCCTCGGGGTTGCAGCCAGCTGAATAGAACCACCGTGACTCCAAAACGACCGCTGAATGGCTGAATGAGAACTCATTATCGGGGCTTGGGACCGCTTACGAGACCGTCACACCGCGATTAATAATCCTCCTCCTCAAAAATAGTTTGCTGGAATTTCGAAGTTTCTTGGAATGACCCGCTGTAATTCTCGCCGAGTGGTTTTCGAACCGCGAAACTCTTCCGATGAATATCATATTCATCGTACGGGTTAAATCTTAATTACTCGACTGCTCCATCTATCCAGAAATATTTTTTAGAGATATTTATATCGAGAAATATTTTCCTCTTTGAGAATAAAGAATTTCTTTCCTACACTTTTTCTTTCTTGTCGATATTCTTCGTAAATGCTTGTTTTCAATTTTTCAACGATCGGTTTTTAGATAACTTCCTGAAAAATGATGAAACGCGCGAGTAAAAGGTTAATGAAAATTATTAATTTGTTTGAAATGGAAGTGGCGAGAAACGAATAATTTTTATTTTCACGTCTTTTAATTTTCCCGTTCTATTTAATAAATATTCGTTTTCTCAGTTTATTACTTATTTTTATAATCTGTATCGTATTTGTTCCACGCTACAATAATTTTCCCATGTTGGATTCTGGATTTTCATTTATTTCAATTTAACGGTGCTTAAATCGATGCAGCTCGAATATTTTCACGGTGCAAGCACATTCAGTAACATTAAAAGTCTATCGCATAAAGCTTTTTTTCTCACGCGAATGAAATTTACTATTTTACTGTATATGCTCATTTTGTAAGCCTATTGAAAGTTCAATTTACAAATTCGAAGTACTGTGGAACGTAATAAATTACATTTTACAAGATTTTAAACGAATGCTTTTCTTAAATGTTGCTAAATGTACAACGTTTGACAAGATATTTAATTAAATTAATAATAAATTAGTGAATCGTATTTGTATTAATAAGAAATTAGTAAACTGGATAAGTATTATATTCCATATTTGTTTAACTCGAAATTTCACTGCTTCGCGAATTATTTACGACAGTATAATCTACCATTTGACCAAGGTTGATTAACCATTTTTACTTTTTTCAGTAGTCAGGCAGTAGGGTCAAGATATTTCGCGTTGCAGCAAGAGCAAGATTTGAACATCGCATATCTTGTACGTGTCGTTCTCGATGTACTCGCGTACGAAGAGATTGGAAAAATACCCGATACCTGTTATTCGATTTCCCGCTACAGCCATTGATCCACATACGAGTTTCGGCTGCTTGCTTGGCATTAATTTATATCCTGTTTCGCACGTAAACAGGTACCGCGTATCGTACCACGCGTCGTAATTCATTCGTGTACCATTATCACAGTTTCCCTGTTGTGGGAGTATAGTAACTGCTTTTTCCCGTTATCAAGCAGAATCCTAATGGCAATAAAAATACCAGCGTATCTGTTCGCCGTAAAAAAACAAAAAAAAACACCACGAATAATTATCGATAACTAGTTACGGCAGTATCAATCTTTTACTTGTTTCTTTTTCAGGAAAATTATTTATAATATCAAAGAATAAAAAACACACCTAATTAAATCGTTAAGAATAGTACATTATCCCAAAAAATATCATTCACGTGCCCGTTTTTATTTCCTTTGGTTCATATCGTATTATTTCTTTCAAATAAAGAGAGAACGAATTCTAAGTAAGCGGTCCAAACCGACAAATTTATTTGCTCATCGTCGTTGCCTCCGACTCTCCGCCAATTGCTGTCACCGGCGAATTCGACGATTCACCTGGCACGAAAGAGATTTAAAAATGGCACGGCAGAAGGAGAGAACGAAAGAATCGTTATCGACGCATCGTACGAGAACACGAGCTTTCTGACCGCACGAACGCACTCGAATTCGTTGTTTTCCGGCTATGTAACACACCGAAAACCCGATCAATATTTTCAAATCGATATACACAATGTACAACAGATACTTTATGCTGCACCAAGTTCTATCGTGCGCGTAGAAATAGAGCTTGACTGTCGGTGTATATCCGCTATTTGGCCGATTCCACCTTCGTGCGATTCGCTCTCTTTCTCCAACCCTTGCTTCCTTCGTTTCCCTGTTTGTCTTTCCCCATTTGCGATTTATTCATTTCTTTCTTTTTTCCCCTGTCACAAGTCACGACAACTTGCGAGCAGAAGGTGCAGAATAATCTGACCTACGTGATCAGCCCTGGTTTCCCCAACCTCATTGACTGGCCCATGAACTGTTCAGTAGTCGTGCAGAAGATCGATAGGCAGGTCAGCCAGCTCAGGATCGATTTCGTCCATTTCAACATAGTAAGCCACGCAGCTCTTTGTCATTCTTTGCTCCACTAACGGCATATTAACCCCTGGAATACTACGCATTTACGATCTCACCCCACCATGCGCGGTTTCCTAGTGTACGCGACAACCTCTGTCTCTCTTCGCTACGCCTCGCGCACCCTTGGATATCGTTGTTGGTTCGTGTCAAAAAGCTAACCTACTGGAGTGCCAGGACACGCAGCACGACTTCCACAGGAACGGTGGCGCGTGCTACTATTGACCCATAATTGAGAACGCAAGCAAAAGTTCAGTAACCCGAATATATATCTACGTTTCCCCTGTTCCAGCTAGTGTCCCTCCGTTGACATTTATGAGTGTCTCCAGGGGATCTAGACACGCTTGTAAAATTCATCTACGTTGATGCGTAAGATTACCACGTTTTAAATTAACCGGGCAACCGTCGACGGCGAGACAGGATGGAGGTCGACGGAGAGAGAGGGAGAGAGAGAGAGAGAGAGAGAGAGAGGGGGATGAATTTTTTAAAACCTCGCGTTATTTAAGGGTGAAGCTATCGTTTCGAGAGACCGTCGCTTCTTTTATGCTTTACCAGTCGAGATGCGGTATGTTTCATGCTGATGCTGATTACGGCTGTAGTATGTGTTTCCCGTGGTAATCTCGACGATGGAAACATTCTCGTGTAGCCGAAATGGGATGAGTTTTTACGTCGATTGTTAAATGATTTAGCAAGGCAATGGCTCGTTTGAATAATTTTGAAATATCGAAACGCCAACTATATTTATTAGGATAGAGGTGTCACGATCACGCGATAAAATTATAATGCACATTTAAGGGAAACAACGAGTATTGTACAGAAGAATTTTACTTTGTAATTTAGATTTATAGCACGAGGGGATGTTATTTTACGGAAGCTCCCTGACAAAATGTACGATACGGAAGATTAAAATTAAGATTGCAAAGAGTATAATTGTAGGTTGGTAGTACGTGGTGGTCGCGCTATGTTCCCCGAGGGTTAATGACACCATCGTAGCTTCACCGTGTACTAGCGTAGCGGCTTGCGATTTAAACTTTACATTCTTTTCGACACAGTGTTGTAGTAATCAGTTGAAGCGAGTGCATCGCAGCATTTCCTCGTTCGTATAAAAACTTGTTAACAGAAAATTATAGAAGAAGCGATGAAATTATTAACTTTTTTTGTATTTTGAAGAAGATAAATGCGTAGTATTCCACCGTTACTTTACCGTGATCGATTAACGGAAGTAGTAAAAGTCTCATTGGAATATTTCGCGTATAATTATTACGACAAACGAGATGCCTGTGAGAAACTGTATAAAACGAAACGAATTATTTAACAAGATTGGAAATACTCGGATGGAAAAATTGATCGAGGACGATTAATTTGTTTCGAATTCTTCGATCCACCGATGAAGATGGCGGAACAAAGACGGCCACGATGTACTGGTTGATTCGAGTATTCGAATAGCATGCTATACGCGTGTATGTTGATCGTCCGATAAAAATCGACCGCAATTTACTGCACGACTTGTTCATTCAAGAGACTTATCGATCGTTGTAGGGTCAACCCAACCCCAGGACTGGCGTATGTGACGAAGATATCATGGAAATCAGAAATGGCAGGAGCGTGTTTCAAATGTGCGGTTGGAACAGCGGTCAGCATCGTAAGTAAGAGTTCCTTTGTGCTTTGTGTTAAAACTTTTCATTTCGCGCTCCAATCTCGCGCTTCGATCTTCGCTTTTATTTATTTCTTTCCTCGTTTTCTCGCTGAAAAGAGTTTCAGAAATATTCAAATAAGTTGTACGGTCTGTTTTATTAAGGTCAATTTTAATTAATTATTTTATGCGAGAAGAATTTGTACCATTCGTTGGATACGTTACGCGATATACAGGACGTTTCACGCAACTAGGCGGAGCTATAACTTTCGTATCACTAAGTCGGCGATGGAAAAAGAATTTCACTGGAAAAATTAAATATCGTCAGGCGATCAACGTCTTTAGATTCTCTTCCATCTTTACGCATTTGTATCGGAGACTAATCGATCGGTCGAATGAAAAATCTTAATTGCTTAATGGCAGTTTGTATCAAACGCTTTCGGATTGATAAATTAAATTCGTGTAATTAATCATTGCGGGGAATTCACTACGATTAAAATCTCGCGGATATCGCATTTCCACCGAACTACGCCGGACAATCAATCTCGTCTGCAAAACTGTAGCTGTACGTACGAAAAAAGAATAGATATCGTACGCTGGAAGACGATACTTTCCATCCGATGAGTTTCCCTCGATATCGTTAGAAAGACCTGACTAAGTTTCGTTAAGGAATCGATCCATCTTCTCCGATACAAAGCTCTTTGGAAGCCAGACAATCGTTTGTAGACTCGTTCTTCTTCCTTTTTGTCCAGTATACATAGACTTGGACGAGGACGATCAGTCCCTGACACTGGACTTCCGATTACCTAGCAATCTTCGATCGAGAATGTGGGAAATGAGGGTTGTCCAGTTAGATTTCGAGCAGCGTGCACCTACCGGCTGCCTCCAATACTTCCAAGGTTCTAACGGCACCTTAAAAACTTTCAACTTCTTGTCGAACGGAAGATTTCTGGCCGATCAAGACTATCTAATGTGTATTCGTCAAGAGAGAGAGATGTGCGGAATCTCTTATACACCCTGTTCGCCCGATTCCTTTCGAATCGGTCCTCCTAGGATGCTATTGACGAACAATACGAATTTGAACGGGTCGTCGATCGACGAGGGTCCTAACGCGAATTCGACTACTCGTAATACGACCGTCGCAGGATCTACGAATGGGACGGATATCGAGGGATCTGGATCGAATCCGATGGAAGAAGGTGGAACCTCTATGAACATGAGCAATACCATGGAACAGGAAGTCGGTTCGTCGAATGGAGCGGTTTATGGACAGGAACGTTGCCGAGACAGGGTGCTCATCCCCTGCGACTTCGAGGAATTTATCACGGTAATGTTTTTTAGTTTGCTTGCGAAGGGCGACTGTCGATAGGATGTTGGATTCGATTAGCTCGAGACATCTTGCAGGTCGGTTCTAGGTTTTGGTAGGTCGACACCTTCGGTAGATCGTCTTGCTGACTTTTATCGTGGCTCGATTGTTTCTTTGGTTTGGCAAATCGTATATATATATAGCATAACGTGTATAGTATCCAAAGGACTCGGATACTACGGTGGATTGTACTATCGAATTTTGCAGTTTAACGATTATGGTAATAGGGGTCTGAAACGGTACTTGTTAAACTTGTTTTGCTCGGTGTTGCGAATTATCGTTTGCCTTTACGGGCGATTTGTTACTGTTTCTTGCTATTTGAAAGTTACTTGAATTTATGACATGAATAATTCACGGGAGAAGTATTAAATTGACCGAAAGTTCCGTGGTCTTTGTTCTTTCGAATGAACGACATCGATTGTTCTAACTGGAACTTGTCTTAACAATCTCAAGTTTACTAGATACGAATACTGAACTGATACTACAAAATATCCTGATTATAAATATTCATTGATTTTGTGATGCGCGTGATACTTTTGCTTGAATGAACGTAACAAATTTTTGCAGGTAGTTGTAAGGAAAATCATTGGACGATTAAAAAGTTTCCAACATGTTGTAAACACGAGCATGCAACTACCTTGTTAATACGAGAAGCGCGTTTTTTTAACGGATTCCATGTTCAGTTGGTCTTGTAGTTCTAAACTGTTACTATGCAACAATGAACGCTGTAAAATGTTGCTCGGAAAAATTTATTTTAGTCACGAATTATGGATCAGTTACCTAGTTAAACCTCATGAAAAAAAACTGTGGTAAAAAATGTTTGAAAGTGAAAGATTTACGATGTTTTTAATTACGTGATTGTAACTGGTACGACTGCAAATTAACTACTTTGCTATTTACAATTATACCAATTATTTTAATTATTCGCATTAGAATCTAGATTGCGAAGAGAATTTTTCACGATGAGGGCAAGAGAAATAGGAAATACTGTTTTTCTTTCTTAATTTCGTTCATTTTTCACAAACACGAGCAAAGCCCTGACGGGCACAATGCGAGCTCGTGCAAACACTGCAATGCGAAAAATTACGCTTCACGTGTCTAAAAATGCGTGTGAAAAATGGGAAACGTCGTTTCGTCGTCGTAAATATTATTCACGCGTGCTTATAACGCAAGAGCCTCTAAAAAGATGCTTGAAAAAAATCATAATTTTAAGTAATTAAAAATTAACAACACATACATAGAAATTCAGAGTGTAACAAATTTTCTCCTCTATTATATTCCGCATAGAATACGTTGAACATACTAACAAAGGATGAAAGGAAAGAAAATGAACAAAATACGCTGGCAATTAAAAATGAAATTTCCATAGAGTTTCGACTAACCTTTTCTTCTTCGACCAAGTAGACATCCACGTCGTCGTACGCCAGACTCTTGCTCACGCGTTTCAACGAATTTCCCTATTGCAGCCTGGCAACAACGAGGCCGGAATTTGCAACCTTGAACACTGCGGCAACTCTCTGTGCGATCGAAACGAGCTGGACGAAGAAGGTAACTGCCGCGTGGAGACCTGGGCAACGCCCTTTCGTATTAGGGTGGCTTTCGGTCCTGGACAGGACACGGGAACCACTCTCGAGGACAATATTGGCATGTGTCTCGTGTACGAGCAACTACCCTGCGTTGTCTGAATGGTCTTGGACCGAGAAACGAGTGGAGACGTATGGGGTGTGACACAAGTTGAGAATTTACGTGGTATCCAAAGGTTAATATTTGAAGAGGACGATTTGATGTTTGCTGTATCTAGCTAAGCCGGTCAGAATTTCCTACGAAATTAAATTTTTTAATTTAGAAAGGGAGAAACGTGTCTCATAATTCGTACGTTTATACGCATCGCGAAAAGAAAACGTAGCAAGCCGCTGAAATTAAAGTAGATACCTTCCGCTGTGAGCAAAAATATAAGAGGATCAAAAGATTCGTGGGCCGACTACTCCAATTATAAACCCAAATATCTAGCAGTTTGTCGCAGAAATGGCCAATTAAGATTCTCAGACTCCATCCAGCGTTCTTCATCCACCGTCATCCTGGTTTCCTCGCTTTTCGACGAAGATATCCTACAGGGACAGCGATCGTTTTAACCCTCTATAACGCCGTAGGTAACTTGGGATATCTATATTCATCGGACCGTGTTTTGAAAATGTTATTTCGTCCGCTGCAACCTTCGTCTATCGCAAGCATATCAAGCTCTGATTATAATATTTCATCCAGTTATAGAGGATTAAAGAGAACCATAGACAGAAATGTACATCGTTTCAGAATGATCGAGAGACACTGATATCAAAGAGTTAAATAGTCTTTATTTACAAACGAACTAGCTTAAATCGCAAACGCAGCGCACAACTCTCGATACAATAATAGATATATAATTCGCTTTTTCATTTTTTCAATTTGTTTTCATTTTCGCCTCTATTCTCTCTCTCTCTCTCTCTCTCTCTCTCGCTCTTTTTCTCTTTCGCTCTCTCTTTCACTCTCTCGATCACGCGTCACGATCGTCGGCCACATCACGCCACAGTCCAAATCGCAAACGCAACTTGAGTCTACCCTCCCTCGAGTCCGTTTCTTCGCGAAAATACCCCCATTTGTATTACGTCGTTCTCAAGTAATTTATTATTTCATCGATCCTCGTGTTTCTAAACGCCGGCAGAGAAACGCGTTTCCACCCTCTTGGAACTGAGAAGTTGGAAGTGGCCGACGATGATCACGGGAATCGCAGCGATAACGATAATGATATTACAAGAATAAATTATAATGCTATTAAATACAATAATGAAGGTGACGTCACGCCGGAATTTCGAAAGAAACGATGCTCCGACCAGAACACGGCGTGACGTTACGAGCTCCTCATCATCGTCGTGTATCTATGTATGTTCCTCGATTTAGTCCTCTATCACCTTTTTTCATCGTCTCCGTTCTTTCCTTTTCTTCTTCTTTTTTTTTTTCTTTTTCTTTAAATGTATATAACCGTAATGATAAGTAATAATAATAACGAGATTAGCAATAATCGTGATCGAACGACGATGACTTCCGGTGTCCGGTAGACAAAAACTGTATTCCGGAGGCCGGAGGTCGTCGACGTCGTCTGGCGTGTGTAAGAAAAGTCGTACCACTATCTACAAAGTCAAAAAGACCGATAAAACGTGTAAAAGGGCGGTGGTCAACGAACGTGTGTGCATATGTAGGTCTGTGCGTGTAAGTATGATTTAGATATGTGTGTGTATGCGTGTGTGTTTGTGTATGCTTCTTTGTACAGAGTCCTTGGATACAGCACATGTCGCTCCCCTGATACCGTACTGTGCTAACTCGTAGTAAGGTTTTCCTGTACATTTCTTTCTCCTTTTTCCCCTCTCCCCTTTTTTTCTTCCATCCTTTCTTTTTCCCCTTTCCTTTATTATATCATGGGTTACTCTTATCGGGAACTTGGATCGATCCTTCGAAGTCTGGCTTAATGAAACAAAAAGAAAAAAAGCTCTTCCGTCACTTTCTACTTGTTTATTTATTTATTTATTTATTTAGTTTTTCTTTGAGAGAGTAAGTACTTGAGTTATTTTAAAGCGTCATGATATGTATACTATTTAGAAGAATCGGCGAATTGTTTCTTGTTACGATGTGCTATCTTTATCTTCGTTTTATTCTAGTTTATCCGTCGTGATATTTCGTGCTTTCTGTACTTCCATTTCGTGGATTATCCTTTCTGATATCGATTCATGGAGGTAGAGGGATTGAATCGCTTTGTTGTAGTTGCAACTATAAACTTTGATCAGTGAGCTGATTTTTTAATTTTGCTTCGTTCAATGAATGTTTCGTGTCTTTTTTTTTGTTTCCGTTTCGAGATATCGATTTAATACGATGATAATCGAATCGTTTTGCGCTTTGAACGACCAACTCTTCGGTATACTGATTCGTAATCTTTCGAAGTTACATTACAGGCTCGTTCGATGGATGTTTATCTTCCATTAAATTTGTTTAAACATCGTATACGTTCGATACTGCGATTGATTCGTTGAATAGCTACTCGAAGTGTGATGTGTTTGTTCAATAAATGTTCGCCGTTTGGTATGTTTATTACACGAACGTTTGCCTTGTAATCGTATTTGTTTTCTAGTTCCTTGGCCTCTGTTATATTTATCGAATAGGCTTCGCTTGAATTTGTTTACTATCCATATTTAGTTGTACGACTGGATGCACGTATGCGTGTTCAGTGTTTATATCATACATTTCTGTTTATTCGTTCAGTGATTTTAATAAAGTGTAACCTTTTTGAGAAATAGATGTAGTAGATTTAAGCGTCCGATATTTATGTGCTTATTACTCATTTGACACAATGTTCTGTTGTTTTATGGCTACAGCGACTTTTTAATGTCGAGACTGCGAATAAGAGAACGAACATTAGGTAACAGAAAAATATAACTTTTTCAGGACATTTCAGATATCGTTTTTTACGTTTAACTACGAAAATAGCATGATCTTCCTCTTTCGCGCAACGAGATATTTTATCCGGCGAACATTACTTCGGAGTACCGTGTAGACAGATTGTGCATGAAATCTTGAGATTATTATCGTTTGGTTTGAATCCTTCCAAAGAAAATATGAAAAGTGACGAACAAACCAAATTCGTTAAGACGATTAAATGCATGAGAAGTTAGTAATTTAATTAGAAGAATTTGCAAGTTTCAAGATAATTTTTAAATTTATGACATAAATTCGAAAGCATTCGACATTTTTTCACGACAAACCTTTGCTTACATTATTATACGCGAATCGTGATCAAGTACACATCGACGAGCGAAAATGTTTCGACATTAACTTTTTATTTACGACACATCGATCGATCTGATATTCAGAACTTTTATGCCCTTTCAGCCATATTATGTATTACGTATTACGCTTGATTTAAAATAAATAATCTAAAAAGAAAACACTATGCGCGAGAATGTAACAAAACCAGGTTTTATTCTAAATGTAACGCCGTTATTCTACTCGAATTTTCTTTTATCATCGATATCATGATATTTCTTAAAATTCCATAAAAACTATAACTATTCTCTTAAAACTTTATCTTTAACATCTTAAATTTTCATTCTTTACGAGTATTTCTGTTCAACATTCAACGTTAAATAAATTTGAATAATAATCGTAACTGTAGCGTATTACAGAAATAATTTATTTCTGTGTCCTGAATTCTGCTTTTTACACAATGCATATATTACAATACAAATGTTTTGTTAACAGTTGGTACTTATCGCGTTAGAAAATGAAATAATAAGAGCTGTTTCTAAGACTGAATTGATTAAATATGCCAGTATATATACATATATACCGTGATAAATCAACCGGCTCGGTATTTCATGCTGGTAACGCGTTTTAATTGCAAACTCAAATAATGGTTCACTTTGTAACAGTTTCGTACCATTAAATATCAGTTAAATCGAGATACTTATTATATGGCTTTCAAATATTTAATTTGCGTTGGACGAGAAGTCGAGAGGTAATTTCAAATTCATAAACTTTTATACAAAAGTAGTACCACGCTAGCGGTAAATTGATACTCGTCTCTGCGTGAAATTCTGTCGCTGGACGATTATTTTTTTCTTTCCATCTGTAGTTTCTTCTTCGATACATTTTCTCGCTTTTCAATATTCTTTGAACAATTTTGCTCTGACAATTAGTAACGGTGTTAAAGAGAAAAACGTCAATTCGCCTGGAAAATCTTCCTCGCCAACGCGTACCGTCGCTGTGATTCACTATTAATATCAGGCAACAGCGGTTTGCACGGATACATATATACGTTCGCAGAGATACCTTTTATTTTCTTTCTGCACATTCGCAAACGCGTACAATTCCTTTCATTTTGTTCTTCTTTTTTTTTCGTCGACCTTTTCCCTCTTTTTCTACGTATTTTCTTTCACGCTCTTCCATTGCTTCCGTCATTCTGTTCTTCGTTTGCACGCGGCACATTTTGAAGCACTTTTTCTTTGGATAATACCTGGACACTAGTCGACTATCAAAAAAAAGTTTAACTCAAGTTGCGTTTCCTTTTAACGGACTTGAATAAACGCGTACCAGGTTAAATACTGGAACGGATGACAACGCGAACCGGTTTCTTTTCCGTCAATGTAGCGATGACTGGACATTTCACGGTGAACAGGATCTCGTTATAGCTTTTTTGTTTCACTTTTAGAATCGTTTCGATGCGTGCCATCTCTTTATCATATCATTACCTTTATCAAGACCGAATAGAGATCAGCGTTTTTGGAACTGTAGGAAATTTACCGTTTAATTGCAATTATTAAAGATTGGTTTTATCGTTCGCTTCAATGGGAGCTTCATCTACTAACAAGATAAAATTAACAATCTAAAATTATTTTTCCATGATCCTGTCGCGCAGCTCCAACTTCCATTGTCTACTTTTGTTTACTCCAAACTCCAATGTTCCCGTTTCTCGTTAACACAGCCCAAACTCTAGTTTTCCACTTGCGTAACTCAACGTAACTCAAATTTTTATGTTCCACTTCCCATTAAAACAATCTATAGTTCCACCTCCAACTTTCTGTTAATCCAGTTCAAACTTCTATTTTCCACTGCTCTTTAATCCAACCAAAACTTCCATTTTCCACTGCTCTTTAATCCAACCAAAACTTCCATTTTCCACTTCTCTTTAATCCAAACTCCAACTTCCCATTCCTCTTTAACGAAGCCCAAACTTCTATCTTTCTCTTCTCCTTAACCCAGCCGAGGCTCATAATTTCCATTTCTCTCGAAACCTGTTTCTCAAACTCCTGCCTTCCATTTCTCCCTAACCAACCCCATATCCTCGGTTAATAACACAAGGGTTAAGACTCTCTCTCTCTCGTGCCGTCACCGTACGCTTTGTTTCTCCGATTTCCTCGTTCAGAAATCTATCAATTACACCCGACTCGATAGCAACCGATTGAAATCCTGTCGCGGCGTCGAACCTGCTTTCCGATCCTCGATCGGATTTATTCGCCGTCAACGGAACAATGTATCGGATTCGCGAAGACTCGTTTGCGCGAAGAGAACGTCAGCCTATATTCTATGGCTTTTGTGTTCCTCGAGGGGCGTGTAAGGAGAGAGATAAGATCGGGAATACTTTGCGGATTGTCGTACACGTTGTCCGGGCGACAGGTCACGTATCGTTTTATATCTGTTCGCGGCGAATCGAGTGGCCAACGCGTAATCCACGCACGTAGGACTCGTAAAGGGATCGGATAGATAGAGGTTTCAGATAAGATTGATCACCGGTGATTCGTGTCACACGGCTGAAAGATTTCTTTTGCGGTTCGTGTATCACGTTCGAGCAGCAGTAATTTACCGTTGCAGATTCTCTGTTGTTCCACTTGTTAGATTCGTGGCCCGGCTGTGACTAGAACAGTTCCTACTAACTTTTTAGTTTAGTTAGTTTTTAGAGAACAATTTTTTTCCGTCAAAAATATCGACAGTTACACGCTATACTTAGTGTTAATGGTAGTAGGCCTTGCTTGCAAATTTTGTACGTATATTTAAGTTGACGATCTGATTTAGAAAGAAATTATACGAATTTCACGTTCTTCGATCGAGGTATCATTTTTTGAACAAAAATTGCGTCGTTCATCGAACGAAGCGTATCATTTTTACGACGAACGATAGCTTTTTAATTTATAGGCCTTGTACTTATACACCGTATTTTGCAGCAGACAGTTTGCAACGATTAAAAGGAAGGTGTAAGAAATTTATCGCACACCTTGTCTTCCGCGGTAACTTAAACTCACCACGAAACTTGAAATCGTCGTTTCATGTGCATTGAACTAACGAAGAAAATTCTATTCGAGTGACTTACGGTTCGACTAATTCGAATCGTGTTTTCACCTGCTGATTTAAGAACACTCCCAGCATTGCTAACAACCCACTGCTAAATTATCGATATTCGATTAAATCAGTTCGCGGTATCTAGAATTAAAAGTATCTACTGAAAAGCAGGCGTTCAATGACGACGTGCTTTAAAGAAGATCGAACCGTCGTACTCATAAAAATACAAATTTAATCAATAATTTCGCATGATGTTTCGCGATAACTGTTCTGTTATTTTAAACGATATTTATTAATGTATTACTAAATATTTAGCGTACGGTTCAAGCGTAAAATCGTGTTTTACCGTAAAAGTAAAATATAATTAATTTTACCCTTAGGTGACTTTTCATTTTTCCACTGCACTATATCCTCTATTTTACCTCAACTTCAAAAAACGTTGCATCCGGGTAGGTCACGGTATCTTCTTACTCCTCTGACATTTAATTTTCGCCACTAATTAATTAACGTCGGATCAACGAGTGGAAAATTCCGGACAAATCGCGTAGAAACGGTTCCTGAAGTGAATCGAGCCTGAATTTAATCACGTTTTCGGTTCATGGGGCAGATTTAACGAAAAAAATTGTTGCTCGTACGATGGAATTCTGCCCGTTTCTAGACAC